TGTGAATTCCTCAGGGAGGTGCCAGTCTCATCCTCTTGTTCCTCCCACGCTCTTCTGGCGAGCTAAGAAAGCGCTTATCTCCCTGAGCCTGGCCTTCATAAGTCCATTCCATCACAGCCCTCCAGAGTCATGCATTTGAGGTGGGTGGCTATATAAATCAAATACATCAAATAAATCACTAACTGCCTGCATGATTGGCGCCCTACCCCTTTTACTGTGCATGTTTAATTGTCTTTCTGGACACCCTTCCAGGTGGATCTCCTTCAGAAGTCTATGTTAAGATTTTATGATGGTCTCCATATTGGATCATAATGCTTAGTTCCACCACTGATATTTCTACAAAGCTGTTGGTGTCTATTCAGATGGTTTTTAGCGCATTCTGGAATGTGGAGAAACAGTGGGGGGGGGGCTTCCCTTGGTCTTCTTTTGCCTGGGGACCCTTAATCCTGCAAGGGGAGCTATGAGCTTGCCTGCCGTTCTTCCCTCCTGTGTCTTAGGGGTTGGAATCGATGGTGGGAATGACAAGGACTGGGAGGCCAACGCTGGGAAGATCACGCTCATTAAAAAGAAAGGGAAAGTGAAGGCTTTGGATGAAGAAGTAAACAGTAAGTCTCGTCTTCCTCCTTTTCCTTTTGGTGGCTCCGTTAAAACAGGCCCCGATGTAGCAGGTGGGTGAAGTGATAGGGCTGTGTAATCCTGTCTAGATTGCAATCTACAAATAATTCGATTTGGGTAATCCTGGGTAAGAGGTTGCTTTCCCTGTGCAGAGCCAGGATCAAGGCCCAGAAGGCAAAGCGTTCTGCACGAGCACAAGGCCTGAGGTCGTGCGCTCTGCTCGTTCTGTTCCACGATTAGGGTGATGGGGAGGATGGTGGCCGTGGGGACTTTTGAACGAAAGGGGCTCAGGGGATCCCGCTCTTACCTCTTCCACAGTGTCTCTCCTGCTTCTCCAGCCGTGGCTTCTTCCTTGCACGTTGCCCCTAAAGCAGTGGGCCTAACAGCTGAAGTGCCAGCCCCCACTTGATCCTGCAGCCGATGGGGTGCCTCACTAGTGTGAATTTGAGCTGCTGCAATTCTGGGTTAGGGACCCTGGTTCAGCACGACTTCAGTGGGCTCAGGAAGCCCCCTCTCTTCCTCTTGCATTTATTTATTTTACAATTTGTGTAGCCCATCCTATGTAAAAGATTCTGGGCAGGCTAAAATTATGAACATACTGGTAGAATAATTCAAAATGATTTAAAAAAAACCCTCATGGTAATATTAAATCAATTGTCCCCCCAGATGGATGCCCATAAAACTTTGCTAGGGTTGACTCCCTCCTTGGGGAGAATGGCTAATTAAATTATGGGAGTATATCTTGACGTCTGAAATAAATCCGATGCAGAATTTAATTGGAAACCATTCTTGCACTACAGCCTTGAAGGTGGAATTGGACTGCATTCAACATTTGGTTTTTAAAGTTCTTATTTGTATAATTTATAGTATTGGTGGAATGCATTATTTAGTACTTGTAGGTATCTTTTGATGATCTGAACCATGTTAACTAAGTACAGGCAGTCCCCAGGTTAAGAACACCCAGTTTACAGACGACCCGTAGTTAAGAACAGAGCCTATTGTAGCAAAATTCAAGTTAAATACACAGTGATTTGAGTTCATTACACAATACGACGTATACAGTATTATACAATAATACTGTTCTGGCTTACATACAAATTCGACTTAAGGACAGAGCTTGTGAATGGAACTTGTTCTTAAACTGGGGACTACCTGTATTTTTAGCCTAAAGTTCACCAGAAATAGGTAGACTTTGACTAGAAAATCAGTATGTAATATTTTGTAATATTATACACTTCTAATGATGTATGATGTATGCTAATATACTGTTGTTTATCCACCTGTATTTTGATATCTCTGCCTGATTTCTTCTTCTTTATGGTACTTAGTTCTTATATTCTTTCAAATACATGAAGATTTTTTTTTAAAGAACTTTGCTAAGATTGTTAGACATAGTGAAATAAAACTGTCTTTTTATTTCATTATGTCTGCAATCCTAGCAAAGCTACAATTTTTATAGGGAGCGGTAAAAGTAAACATTCATTAACAAATGTTCTAGAACAAATGGGGGGTTGTTTGAATGTTCTTACAGGCAATTTTTTCTGCTTTGTTTTTTAATTTTAACTTTTTAACCACTCTATTAAACCTTACCTTTTTAATTCTCACCTGAGCTCTCACCTCAGTATAAAACTTATGCAACATTCATTTAAAAAAAGATAACAACATGGACGTTAGGAATTATACTGCTATGTATGTAATTATATGCAAGCATTCTATTCCTTTCCCCCTTTTTTCCTTTCTTTGTTTTGTTTTTTTCTCTTGCTTTTTACTTACTTAATAAAAAACAACATTATACAAAAAAACCCCAACAAATATTCTAGAAGTCCTGCTTCGTTGCTGCATCGATGGCTACAATTCCAAAATCAGTGAGGTTAAGCATCACCAGACAAGAGATTGTAAGCGCTGCCTATTCCTCTTTTCGTGACCAGTATAAAAAAAGCCTTTAAAAATGCAAATATTTTTTTCTTTCTGTAGAACAGCAGGATATAGATCTGGACATTGAGTTTGATGTGCACCTTGGAATCGCTCATACCCGCTGGGCCACCCACGGCGAGCCTAATCCGGTCAACAGCCACCCACAGCGATCAGACAGGAACAATGGTACGCCGTCCCTGGGATCACCAAGTGGTCTTCTTTTGGAGGGGTAGGGGTGGGGGGACTTTTGCAGTGGCAAAGACTGCGAGTGGCTCTTCAGCGCCTGCAGGAATTTAGCCAAGCTGCCCTGGGACTGTTCCGTCTTGGCTCTTCTGCCTTGAACAGGAGCCAGGGAGCCCAACGGGGGCTGATCCAGAATCTTGCAGGTGGAAGAAGGGGCGAGTCCCAGCAGCTGGGAGAAGCTGTGGTCGTGGCCAGGATGGGAAGCTGAATCTAGACCTTTAGAGATGCACCTTTAAACTCAAGGCCAGTCTAAATCCACCACGCGTGATGTGGTGCTTAGGGCTGGCAAGGCTTTAAAAGCGACTCTTAAAAAGTATGTCTAGGTTACAGATTGCGTCCTTTGCTAACTTACAAAGATTTTCTGAAAAGGTTAACTTGAAGTGCTAATTGACCATGGTTTCTGCTTAAATCCATGATTTGAAACACTGCAGTAACATGGCTAAAGACGTTCCCAATTTACAGACCCAAATAATCTGCTTTATAGAATTGTTACTCTTCAAATATCATGGTTGCGGTGATGGGTCACAGGTAATTCTGGGTTGTAAACTAGCCCATATGTTGAAAATAATCTTGATAGGATGAACTCCTGCTACACAGATGTACTTTATGTAGCTTTAGATACTATCAATTTTTTTGTAATTTTAGATATCATCACACTCTACATAAATGTTAGATATCATCATATTTTATGTAATTTTAGATACTACTTCATCTATAGCCAGGACATTAATTGCTCCTTTTGGGCCTTACTCACAGGTTCTAGTCAGATTGTTTTATAGATGTATTTTAAATTTGTTTCAAATTTTATTTACTGATTTCTTAAGGTAGATTTATAAGTGCTCCCAGATCATGCATGGACACCCTTCTTGTACTGGTCTAAGACTGCAACAAACTGACTGACTGACTACAGGTAGCCCTGGGGTTATGACCACAATTGGGACCGGAATTTCCGTCACTAAGCGCTGTGGTTGTAAAGCTTGACATCACATGACCGCATTGCTTAGCGACGATAGTCCTGGCAGACCCTGGTTACTGTCAGTAAGCAAATCACCGTGGGTCATTAAGTGACTTCCTGCCAATTTCAAACAAGCAAAGTCAGTGGGGAAGCCGGCTGGAAGTCGCGAGTCTCGGGCAGCTCGCAAGCAGGCTGGAACGCCGGTAAGTGGGTCCTGCTGCCCGGCCTGAGTGTAGCCAAGAGAGCTGCTGCTGGGGGTGGAAGGGCGCGCAAGCCGCCCTGCGCTTCACAGCTCCTGCTGACCCCAACTCACCTTCACCGTCTTCTTCTTCCCGTTGCTGATGAGATGTGCCTAGCCTGGCCCTTCGTGAGGCAGCTGCTGGCTGCCTTCTTCCCGAGGCCACACACAGCCTTCTTGAAGTCACACATGGCCTTTCCAAAGCCTCGCGGGGCCTTCCAAAGCCTTGAGAGAGGCTGCGGCCCTGGGAAGAAGGCATTGCATTGCATTGCCAGCAGCTGCCTCGTAAAGGGCCAGGCCGGGTGAGCCTCATCAGCAGTGGGAGGAAGAAGATGGTGAAGGTCAGCTGGGGGTGGCAGAATGCAGGGTGGCCAAAAAGGCAGATGTGGTCATAAATGTGGGCAGACTGGCAAGCACCCGAATTTTGATCACATGACCGTGGAGGCACTGCAATGGCTGTAACTTCGAGGACTGGGCGTAAGTACTATCGTTCAATGCCATCATAACTTCAAACAGTTGCTGAACAAATGGTCGTTAAGTGGGGACTACCTATATATTGATAATATGCAAGATGGTGGTTTTCTCTTCCAGCTCAGCATAGAAACAGATTTAACCAATGATCCACATTCCCTCTTTTATATTCAGAAATGAAACTATAAATGGGGTAAAACTTATTAATTTTGTGGTTAGACTCCTCAGATGACATTGCTCTGAATTAAGTAACTAAATACCCAAGTTTAAGTGTTTTTATTAAGGTAGGTCATCCATGTCTCTTGAGCTTGTGAGTTGGCTGCATGGCTTTGGGAAACATAGTTTCTGCCTTGGCTTTCCCGTATAAAGACTTTTTTGAACAAATCAGAGTTCTTTTCCCTCCCATGTTTCTTTTTTTTTTTATGGCCTGATTTCTGATCATAGCCTTGAAACTGGATGTTTCTTTTTTCTTTCAGAATTTATTGTTATCCACAATGGAATAATCACAAATTACAAAGATCTGAAAAAGTTCTTGGTAAGTTCAGCTCCTTGGATTGTATTCTATGTTAAACTTTAAAAACAGAATCTGTTTATGGTGGCTGCACAGGAAAGAACCATCTGTTCCTTGGTAACTTGTTCCAAGTGACTCCAGAGTTCTTCAAAAGTTGGAAAGGGGTGTACTTTTGCCCTTTAACTGGGTGATCAGTAGGGGTGTGCACAAAATGGAAAATAGGTTTTGTTCTGTCCATGGAACAAACACATTGTGGCTCAGAATTTTGGTTGAATCATCCTGGGTGGATTGTGATCCATCTGAACCAAAACCTAGAACATCTTGGTGGTTGTTGGTTTCAACCGAGACTGAAATTTATTTATTTTATTGTGGCTTGCATGATCCTTGGTTCAAAATGGCTCTGAGCAGCTTATATCAAGCAACTAAAAGTATTAAAGTAAAATCATCACCATCCTCTAATAGGGATGTTAATCCTCATTGTCTCCAAATGCTTTCCTGAAGAGCCAGATCTTCAAGGCTCTTTGGAAGCCCACCAGATATATTAGGGGGATGACACCAATGGTGTGTCATCCCTGAGAAAGCTTGATTACAGGGTCACTGTAGATGGAAGGGGTGTATCTGGAGAGGTCTTATGGACTAGTAGAGCAAGGCTGGTCATCCTTTTCTTACCTCCTCTGTGTGACCTGTGCCCCACACCGATCTTTCATTTCCTCCTCTTGGCTTTCTCCTGCCATTCTCATTGTGCCTGAATTTAAGGGCTTCCTTTCTCTTACTTCTCTTTAGCTACATGCTGTGTTGCCTACCCAACCAGTTCTCCAGCTCTTCCCCCATCTGCACTTTCCTATTTTTCCCTGCTCTCCACACCCTGGAACATCTTTGCCTGGAACATGTACGGTCTGGGTTTGGCCCCAACTCGCAAGTTCCACTCCAGGATGGTCTGTTCCACACACAGAATACTTTGGATTCCCTGGACATGTTCAGGATTGACATTATATCTTGAAATACTTTAGTGTTTCCTCCAAGCAGGACCTTTTGAACATTCCTGATTGGAGCTGGGCTGCTTTATAAGAAATTAGAGCTTAGTGTGCAAGGTCTTTAGCATTTGGTCACTTTAATAATATTTTGCAATAGATTTTTTCTTGCCTGAGCCACATCTGTCATGCTGTTCATGCTTATTGCTTCTCTTTCCTGCTTCAGTTGAGGAAATAGCCCACTTTAATTTTTTGTGTTTTTTCAGGAGAGCAAAGGCTATGAATTTGAATCTGAAACTGATACAGAAACCATTGCAAAGCTTGTCAAGTACATGTATGACAACCGTGAAAGCGACGATATAAGTTTCACCACCTTGGTGGAAAGGGTCATCCAACAGCTGGTACATCTACAGTTTTCAGTAAATCATCGGGCAGTTTAGAACGAGTATATTTTGCCAGATCCATTGATGCTTCTTAATAATGCAGGGTCAGGAACTGTTGAGTCCACCACCAAGGAAGAGTGGAGAGATTTTTCTGATGGCTACTTTTGTCTGCAGCCTCAGATACGAGAAGAATCTCACTCAGCCCAAAGGAAGATCCAGCCGGGGCAAACCTTGTTTGCAACTGTGGCTGTCAAATGCCAGGCCTGCCCCCAGTTTAGCTAAGAGTTATTTCCACACTGCTAAGGATAATTGTATAGTCTAAAGAATATCCTGCTCAGAAGGATGCCAGATGTATTTTTGCGCATTTTAGTTGCATAGTGCACTTTATTAAAAAAGAAAAAAAGAGTGTATTCTTAAATGTAACACACTTCTGTGTATATCTGTGCTTGTTTACAAAGAAGCCAGATCTAGGTCTCTAGTGGCTATTTTTTCTTATAATAACTGCTTTTTAAATCAGAAAGGATCTGACTGTACCTGTTACATGTTCAGTGCAATGGAATTGAGGGGAGTCTGCTTGCATGAACTGGAACTGAATTATGTAACTGAGAAGATAAATCAATATCTCCTTTTCTTTCCTGTTCCAACAAAGGAGGGTGCCTTCGCTCTTGTATTCAAAAGTGTGCATTATCCTGGCCAGGCAGTTAGTACAAGGTAAGTATTATCTAAATCCGGTGTGAGTCAGTCAGTCAATCAGCATCATCATTTATTTCTCCCATCTTGACAGTTTGTAAGATTTTACAAAATTTAGCCATTACAAGTTGGGCATCTGAGCTTGCAACACTATAACTAGGCTGAGTAGTTAATAGTTGTTCAGGAGTAAACTATGAGTAAGTCTCCTGAATGGATGCTTCTGCCCAGAAAGAGTCTTTGCTGCTCCTCACAGCCGAGTGCTCTTTTCTTTCTTTCTTTCTTTCTTTCTTTCTTTCTTTCTTTTTTTTCAGAAGGGGAAGCCCTCTGCTCATCGGGGTTCGAAGCGAGCACAAGCTTTCTACTGACCACATTCCGATCTTGTATCGGACAGGTAAATCCCCCAAGCTGATGCTCTGGTTTTCCATGTTGTTATGCCTCTGTAGCAGCTCATCTGAACGCTGTGTGAAATAACTGTGCAACTAGCAAAGTGAGACATTGAAGTAGAAGGCAGAGCAAAATTAATTTTCCTTCTTAAATTGTGGAAGCAACAGTGGGAAGAAAACCTTCCTTGTGGGCATATATTTGGGTGATGTGTCTGTTCCAGATGTCTTCCTGAAAGAAACTTGACAGTTACAGTTCTAAGGAGCAATTTCCTGAGATCACTAATGCCCTCCTTCCTTCCCAGCTACAGCTGGAAGAGGATTTTAGTTTTTCCTGACAGTAAAAACTGAAAATAAAAGATTCCTTTGCTGTGTACATTTCACTAGGTAACCTGTGTATATCCTTCATGTCAGCATTTTGGCAGCTGCTTTCATTGTAAAAGACCAACCAGTGCTTCAGCTTCTCTTTCTGGAGATCATCAGTCTCCTTTCCTATGCAGGAATCCATCCTCTACTTCAATGCTTATAGCTGAGAAGAATCCATTTCCTCCTGAAGCAGTCTCTTCGGCTCTTGATCGATTGATTATGTTCCATCAAGTCATTTTCGACTCCTAGTGACCATGTAGATAGATTTTTGCCATGACGATCTGTCCCCAGCCTGGTCCTTCAGGTCTTCCAACGGTGGTCCCATCGCCACTGTAACTGAGTCCATTCACCTTTCCCAGCATCAGAGCCTTCTCGAGAGAGCTGGGTCTTTGCATGATGTGTCCAAAGTAGGATAATTTGAGCCTGGTCATTTGTGCCTTTGAGGGAGAACTCTGGGTTGATTTATTTGATGATCCATCAGCTTGTTTTCTTGGCTGTCTACGGTATTCTCATGAGTCTTCTTCAACACCAAAGTTCAAAGGCATCAATACTCTTCCTATTCTGCTTCTTTAAAATTCAACTTTCACTTCCATACAGTGTCACAGGGAATCCCATGGCTTGCATGATTCTGATCTTTGTAGGTATAGACACATCACAGCATTCAAATATCTTTTCCAAGGCCTTCATGGCTGCTCTACCAAGTGCTGGTCTGTGGCTCTTCAGTTCTTATCATTAAGCAATTCTTTCTGATAGAATTTCTTATCTTGCCTCTGGAATGAAATGGAGCAAGCCCACGATCTTCTGCATGACAGCTCTTCAGATATTTGAAGGTAGCTGTCATGTCTCCCAGCTGTCGTCTTCTCTCCAAGCTAAACATAAGCAGTCGTCAATCATTCCTGATTTTTTCTTCCAGACCTTTTATCATCTGGTTGTTGTCCCATGGACATCCTCCAGTTTATCAGTCCCCTTCTTTCATCAAAACAGGAGACCAGGTTGAGTTGATCACCTTGTCTGGATAAGCCCATCTTGGCTCTTGTCAAGCAATACCTTCTTGCTTAAGTGCTCACAAACAGTCTGCTTCATAATCTGTTTTGGACTTTTGCCTAGGATTGACATCAAGCTGAGCAATCTCTAGTTACCTCTTTTTCCCTTATCTTGAAGATAGGAATAGCATTTGCCTTTCCCCAGTCTTCTTGCACCATGCCCATGATTTCTCCAAGCTCCTGGAAAGGGGCTCCAAGATGGCATCTCCAAGCTCCTTCAAGACTCTTGGAGTAGTTTCCCTTGTAAACCTAAGTTTCTTTCACCCTTTAACATTTTGGATGGACTTTCTGCAAATATAAGCTACTTGCTAGTAGGCTTCCTTGGTCATAATCCCATTTCTAAAACATGTCCCTTTTAACTCTTCACTCAGTCTAAAGCTCCCCAAGCATTTTCAGTGATTTCCTAAGTTGCCGCCTGTCCCCATTTGTTCTTCTCATTGAAATGGTGTATGGTTGTACCCCAAGATAGTTCCTTTGAGAAATTCCCAACCCTCCTGCATTCCCTTTGAAGATCTCTGTCCACAGGATTCTGCTTAGTCATTCTTTAAGCTTTCCTGAAATTAGGTAGAGGTAGTCTCAGTTTAAGAATGAGTTCTGTCCCCAAGATCTGTCCTTAGGTCAAATTTGTACATAAGTCAGAACAGTATTATTGTATAATACTGTATAAGTAGTATTGTGTAATGAACTTGAACCATTGTGTATTTAACTTGAATTTTGCTACAGTAGGCTTCATTCTTAACTATGGGTCATCCATAAACCAGGCGTTCTGAATCTGGGGACTAGCTGTATATATACAAGTAGTCCTTGCTTAATGACCACAATTGGGATTGGCAACTTCATGGCTAAGCACCACGGCTGTTATCATGTGGCTGTGACTTGCAGTTTCGCTGCTGGCTTCTCCATTGACTGCTTGTTGGAAGCCACCTGTGAAGTGCGCAAATGGCGATAATGTGACCATGGGATGCTTGTGACAGTTGTAAATGCTGCCGGTTGTGAAGAAGTGGGGAGAAGCAAAGCTGTAATGTGCATCTGGCCCCACCACAGTTAGGAGCATAGATGGAATTCCAGGTCTCCCGGAGCTCAACTCCCGAGCCAGCTGCAAAAACTTTTCAGTTTCTGCAGTTAACTCAAAAGGAGCTGCCATCCGGAGCACAAGCTGCACTTCTCTACTGGTTAGGATGAGATCTTGGCAAATTAATCCCTCTCCCTGCTTCAACCTTATGGAATATAGAGCAGTCAGAAAACACAGCCCCCATGGAGGAACTTTGGGGGTCTTGCTGCCTTGGCTGAGTTAGGGTTCCAACAGTGTTAAGCTGGCTGAAGTCTCTCATTGTTGCTATGACAACAACAAGAACCTCCCTGGAGGTTCTGCAGTATGGTCCAGAAGTACCTTATCCAGACCTTAGGCTTAACTTGTCAGTCTACAGCATAATTACATCTACAATAATACACGGCTTATTTATTTTATTTGTTTAGTGAAGCTTATATGCCGCTCCAGTTAAAAATGATTTTGAGTGGTTTACACTCCAATATATAGTAACAGGATTAAAACATAATAGAACTTGACTAACAGGTAGACCAACAGTCAGTAGGCACCCCTTCTCCAGGAGGGACCAGTATTCCCATAATCCCCCCTGTCCCTCCAGAGGAGCCAGGGTTTGGTGGCCTTCTGGGGTCCCAGCAGAGTTAGGGCTGCTCTGATTTCTAGAGGGATGTTTTGCAGAGAAAGAGAAGGCCTGTATCCGTGGTTCCTGATGACAGTTTGGGGGGCTCGGGCCGCAGAGGGAGCCTTGCCTTCCAGCTCTGACCAGCCAGGCAGACTCCACTCGCAGAGAGCTGGGTCCTGAGCCAAGTAGGGCTTTACAGGTGGCAACCAGCATCAAGAACTGCACCCGGAGACCAAATGGCCGCAGCCCAGGTCTTGAAGGGCAGAGGTCCCCAATTTATTTCTGCCCGGCACCGCTCAGCTGTTGTATTTTGGAACAGAATATCATTACTTCCCCTTCCTTGCCTTCTTGCCCAAACTCTCTCACTGGGGCCTTCAAGGTTTGAATGTCTACGCATGAAGGCACTTCCTTTGCGTAGAGTAACACTCCTCCCCTTTTGTCTGGCTTCTTTCTTGTAAATAAGATCTACCCTTAATCTTTGCCTTCCCCGGCACATTTTGTCCTATCAGGTTTTCAGGAGTGCCGTCTAAATCATTTGTGTTCTTGCATTAAGACTTTTTCTTCCCTGTGCATTTCTGTAGAGCCTCTGGAAAACTTGACCTGTTCCTCCCTGTTATTTCCACACTCAAACTCTCGTCCTGTGTCCCAGCCTTGTTCTCATATGTGGCCTTGTATTTTCTAGTCTCTCTTCTCTCCCTCCAGAGAGAGATTCAGAGAGATCTCCACTTTGGTACGGCACCTTCCAAACCCATTCTTCCAGGCCCCTCAATACAATATTCTGTGATTTTAATCTAGTCACCAGATCTCTAATATTTTTCATTGATCTGTATAATCCTGTCAGCTTAACGTAACTATATGAAAGTTGCTATAGCAATCCCATAAACAAGGCATCTCAGAGTAATTTTTATTTCTGAAGCTCAACTTTTACCCTTCATGCAAACAGGGCAGAATGGGGGTCTGAAGCTCCCACCTCCTGCTCTTGAATCAGCCCTCGGAGGTAGCTTAGCCCACATTTCTGACCTACTATTGTCCATCTGTCTTTATACCTGAATGGGGAAGTTCTTTCTTTCAGACCTGCTCACACCTTCTCCACTGTGCTTCTCCACTCTTCCTTTCTGCTCTCTCTCACATTATCCTTCCCAAGAGGAGGGTAAAGGAGGAATCCACGCCTCTGTTGCATCCCTGTGGATCCGTCACTGTTCATGTTCAAATCTGCAAGGATCTCCAACTCGGGTGGCCTGAAAACATGTTTGGGAAAGAGCATGCTGTGCAGGGCACAGGTGTCTGATCCCCAAGAAGGTGGCATGGCTCCCTGTGGGTATAACAGTGGGTATAACAGGTGACACGGGAGCAAACCAGTGTCAGGCTTTACCCAGGCAAGCTGGACTGAGCCACCTAGTTCAGCTCACAAGAAAGTCCAAGACCTTCGCATAAGCAATATTCATTGAAGAAAGTTGGAAAGATGTAATGCCCCAAGTTTCAGCAATGGCCATGATACAAGAACTAGACAAGAATCAAACCCTTTTACGTTCGTTTTCCTCCCTGCCCTACAAGACAGACTGTTGGACTCTCTCTTCGGGTGGCCCATTTCCACCTCTCCTGTGTTTTAGAAAAGGCAAATGTGGTGTTCTCTTGCTTTCTACTGACTGGCTCCCCCCTCTAGACAGAGACTGATGGAGACAAAGTTGGCGGGGGGAAGAAACAGTAGAAAGGCCCCCAGTCACAACAGAAGAGCAACTGTTGAAAGTGGGGAGCGGCTTTCTGCTCTCACCAGGAGCTACAAATCCTCTCTTAGGTATAGAAGAAGCAGTTCTCTGTCCCCCCCACTTCTGTCCCCTACCAGGACCAGGTAAGTGAGGACAGCAGGCTCCCCCCATTCCTGTCCCCTTGGCCCCAGGTAGGATGATGCCTCCATGCAAGGCCCAGCCTCACGAAAGGAAGGAGCTGGAGTGCCTGGCCAGAGCGGGAGGCTGCTGCTGCTCCTGCCAGGGGTGCACTGAGTGAGTCACTCTCTGCTCTTCTGGCTCCCAGCGAGGTGACCCTCTCCTGTCCCTCCCCTTCCCCAGTTGTCCTCATCAGTCCATCTGTCCACTTTGCTCTTGCCTCCCTGGTTACACCCCGTGCCACGAGCATGGAGCAGTGTGGCATTCTTGCCGAGGAGCCCTGGCCAGCTGAGGGACACGTCCCTCCAGGCAGACTTACCCCCAAACTCTGTTGCAGGTGGCAGAAAATGGCTAGTAAAGCCATTACTTTGAGACCAGCAGAGAACCATGGGAATGGCCTGCCAGAAACTATGTGACAGCAGTTAGCAAAACATGATTTAAGTCCAGAACAGTAGAAAACTTTAGAAAGAAACTCAGACTAGCTCTGATTTCACTCTCTTGCGTATGGGGGGGGGGGGGGGGGGG